ATGACGCTCTATGGGGTGGGTCTGAATTTTTTTTCCTGTAACACGGATTCTTTCCGCCCACCATTACATGTGTTATAAAAGGTGCTGCTTTTGTATATTATGAGCAGATTTCACTCCTTTACAGGCCTTACAGTCGCAGCAGGTCCACTGCGCATACTTAAGTTTTTATGAATGATCCCTAGCAAATAGTTAAAGTATAAGTGGTAAATTACTAAAGGCTGTCTTGAATCCTGCGTCGCGTGGCTGGAATTTGCATTGTTTTGCCTTACCTGGTTTTTACATTACTATAAACTTATCCGTTTACATCCAGTATTCAATGCATACAACTTGCATGCGAGATTAATTGCTCTGGCACTTATCCTACCTATTCAAGTCAACTGCCGCAAGCCCAGCAAAATTTTCCTTCACCAGCTCTTTCATCTTTGCACTCGAATAGTTTCCTTGAATTGCGACGTCTTTAACCCTGCCCTCACGATTCAGCAGTACCCACGGATTTCCACGCGGTGCACATTTTGCCTTCTCTTTCAGCCATACGAATACTTTATTAGTTGACCTCCCTTTCGGCTGCGGTGACCCGCAATCGCTAGCAGAGCTGGAATCGCCTGAATCTCCCATGTTCGATAACACTTCGTCAGTTCAGTCAACTTGCACAACAACAGCCTTTAATCGATGAAATCAAAACGAACAGGCCCTCTTTGTTCTGCTGTAGAAGCACGAGTCCGGCACGTGAATACGACAACCGAGATCAATCAACTTCATTGTTGGGGGAGGGGGGCCCCCAGTGGGATATTATACCAAAAGACTATTTCCGCTATCACATCAATATTGTGTATATGGGTTTAAGTCTATTCACATAGCTTTTTATTCCTTACTTTTCGATTGCGCAAACGAAGTAAAAATCGCAGTGGTTTGGAAAAGGAAGACGGTTGGTGGTGGAAATATCGACCAGTCATTGTTGTATTACAATCGGTAATCACACTGAATAAGAAAGCCGATACCAATCAACTTCATTGTTGGAGGGGGGGGGCCAGTGGAATATTATACTAAAACGCTATTTCCGCTATCACATCACTATTGTATATAAAAAAGGTTATGAGCGAAGAAACCAGGTAGGGGTTCGAGTCTGTTCACAGAGTTTTTTTTGATTACTTACATTTCGATTGCACAAACGAATTAAAAACCGAAGTGGTTTGGAAAAGGAAGACAGTTGGTGCGCAGGCGTCCTAAGCTTACGTCTCGAGGAAAAGCGAGAGATTATTTCACGAAAGCGTCACGCGTTGTGTGACCCAGTGTTACGTTTATAATAATAATAATAATAGTAAAGCCTTTATTTAAAGAGGGTGGCACTTAATAGCCAAAGGCTAATAAACTTGTGGCCCTCACAACTATTTACAATCTAAAATACTGTAAGCTAAAAAAATATATATATACAGTTAAAATATAAAATATGACAGGATTCGATTATAAGATAAAAATAAATTATTAAATTATGAAATGATGCAAAAATTGTTGTTCCTTAAAAATCTTGGCAAACATGTTCTTTTTAAAACATGCTACAGAATTTAGTTTCCTAATTTCAATTGGTGTACTGTTCCACAGTCTTGTTGCCGAAACAGCGAAAGAGCGTCCTCCTTCTGTTTCTCTTTTATATTTAGGACAAACAGCATTAGTGCTTGAATATCTAGTGTTGCGGGAGTGCCGCTTATTATTTAAAATTAAGTATTCATTTAGATAATTCGGCAAAGTCCCATTAATTTGCTTATACATTATTGTGCATTTATCGATCTTATGTTGCTCATAAAACGGGATCCAACCTAGCTTGTTAAACAAAGCAACTGATGGTGTCATGCGATCGGCATAACAAATAACGCGTGCCGCACGTTTTTGCAATCTTAAGACCCTATGAACCGACTCTTTATCGCAATTTGCCCAAACAACGTTAGCGTAAGACATAACAGGGCGAATAATGCTATTATAAAACTGAAGTCGCTGTTTAAGAGGTAGACACGCTCGGATCTTATGCAATATTGCGATTCTAGAGGCCAACTTTTTACATACTTTCTCAAAATGTTCATTAAATGACAATTTGCTGTCAATTTCTACGCCTAATAAGGTAGCACAGTCCACATTACTGAGCTGTTTTCCATTTACGATTACATCTATGTCACTTCTATTTATGTTGGCCACGCGTCTTTTGCCAGTGATCGTAAGTACTTTAGTCTTGTCTTCATTTAATGGGAGCTTATTCGCTGAAGCCCATAATTAAATTTCAGAGACAGACTTGTTTAGTGATGAATTTAAGGTGGCTAAGTCCTTCACATCCGCAGAAGCGATGACAGTCGTATCGTCTGCGTAGAGGTCCAACTGAGCACTTGTATACAAGGGCAGATCGTTGATAAACAAAATGAAGAATAAAGGACCCAAAATACTGCCCTGGGGGACTCCATGCAACATCAAAGCTTCGCTTGACTCACTCCCATTTACACGGACCACTTGCTTCCTTTCCGACAAATAAGAGTGACACCAGGCAAGCTTCCGGTTTACTATGCCGTACAGTTCCAACTTGCGCAACAACAGCTTATGGTCCACCATGTCGAAAGCCTTACGATAATCGACCAGGACCATGCTGCAAACCTGATTATTATCTAGGCTGAACAAAAGCTCGTCAATTAACTTGATTAGGGCAGTCTCGGTACTGTGCATCCTACGAAACCCAGACTGTCTGGAATATAACAAGTTATTATCCATAAGGAAAGCATATAGAGAGTTGTGAATGTGACGTTCGATTGCTTTTGACACTACCGGTAGCACAGAAATTGAGCGATAATTAGAAGGATCACTGGCTGCACCTTGTTTGAACAGTGGTGTCACATTAGCGGTTTTCCAACGAGTAGGAAACTTTCCTGTGGAAAACGACATGTTGATAAGCCTTGCTATGCTTGGAGCTAAAATGGGAGCAGCAATACGCAAAAACCTGGCGCTGATTTTGTCGATACCTGCAGCCTTATGAGGACTGATTCCCTTTATAATCTGAAGCACCTGAGCATCGGTTATGTCTGGAACAGAGAAAACCACATCCAGATCTTTGCGAGACTCAACAAAGTTTACCAACTTGGACAAGTCTGATGGTGTATTACCGAGTCTTGATCTCAGATTAGCCGCGATTGAGGAAAAATATGAATTAAACTGTTCCGCAATTTCTGTAGCATTTTCAACAGCCTTACCATCCAACTGTAGCTGACTAATCCCTTTATTCATCTTTCCGGATTCTGTCAATGCTTTGATCGTATTCCACGTTGCTTTAGGGTTGTTTCGATTTTCTTCGAATGCATTCTTGTAAAACTCACGCTTTGCTGAGCGCAAGGCAAAAACAGCCTTGTTTCTCGCCTCTCGATAATTTGCCCAGTCAGAACTATTGTCCGATTGCCTAGCCACCTTCAAAAAGTGATCACGAGAGTGCAATTTTTTAATAACCGCATTGTTCATCCAGGGGGGCTGAGTGGTGTGTTTGATTCTCTTTTCACGCCAAGGACAATGATCATCGAGGGCGGAATTAAACATCTGCCAAGCATAAACAACATCATCAATATCTTCAAACACAAACGCCGTCTCCCATGGGGTCTGCTCTAGTGTTCGCTTGAATTGATCCTCATTAAAAGATTTCATGTCACGGTACTTGATTCGAGAAGATTGTCTGTTTAGATTCCCGCGTGCATACTTGCGGACTACAAAGACTGGTAGATGATCTGCTAAGCCAATGTCTGCACTGGTGACCAAATTTATTTGCTGTGGTTGATTACTGTACACATGACAAGACAGGTTTTGCTTACGGGGCGGGTTATAAAATCAACCAACTGTTTAAAGTTCATACCACGCAACCCTTTGGCGAGTCTATGCTTATCATAATTCTTCCTATCCTTATAATCAATGTTTATGTCAGAAACAATGATAGTTTCTTTGTTTAACAAATGAACCCTCTCGATGAGCTCTTCGATTTTAATGTCATCATCCTTTTTGGAGGACAGTGGTCGGTAAAAACTTCCAAGAATAATAGATCGCTTCGATTTATTAGGACACACTTCTAGCCAAATTGCCTCCACATCCGCGCTTTCCAAGTCAGTTCTCCGATTTGCAGTAAGATCCCAACTAATAAAAGCCATAATACCACCACCATTTGTCTTTCTGTCCCTTCGGTGAATTATGAACCCCGGGATTGCGTAGCAAGTGTCCGGATCGTCGGGCTTGAGAAATGTCTCACTAATAAACAAAGCGTCCAGTTGAGAACGACCTGAGCGCATGTTTCCAAGTAGGAACAGCTTGATCTGTTCAAACTTGGTTGTTGTTAAATAGTCAACGTTCCAATGGCCGATTCGTAGACCATTTTCTCCAAGTCCGAGATCAAAATATGAAGAGGAGTAATCGCTTTCGTCGGTTTCGGACAGAGATGAAGTCCTCGTTGTCGATGGACTGTATTCAGCGAACAAAGAAAAACTCCCTTCCAAAGACAATAAATCCGACTGTGTAACATCAATTGGACCAGGGTTACTGGCAACATCATTACAGAGGACCAAAATATTGGTGGATAAGGTGACGTTTAGGAGTTTTAAACCAAGTAATAGCTTATGACTAGCAGGAGCTGGAACAATGGCGGATGACTTGATTCGTGTTTGAAGTCTAGAAAGGCTTATAAATGGCACACATAAAGCTCTTGCGACAACAAATCCTTCCAGGCATATCCCTAAACTCTTATCTTCCAGATTCAGTGGGTTGCGATAAATGGAGTTGAAAATTAAACTTGAGACAAGCCAAAGTGTTAGCAAGCAATTAAAAAATCGTTTTTGTAGGGTCGCGACAGGCGTAAAAAAAAATGAGAAAATTAAAAATTAAGAAACACATTCACGATTCAGGGGCTAGCCTGCTATCACAACAATCTCCAAAGAGTTTTGAGATTGGTGATTATTATTTATTTGTTTCGTGGCCTCACAATTCAATTTACAAACTTAAATTACGTAGTCCCTATATTGCGAGGCTAAGACAGGCAAAAAATTTCCAATGATATTGTCTAGACCTCGCCATTGCCTCCACATCCTATCATCGAGATACGTCTGAACGTCATCATGTGAAATGCCACGTTGTGCTTTAATAGGAGCCTTCAAATTTGCCCACACCGATTCTGCTTCCTGGGTGTGTACCCCTGTCGCTGGATCAACAAAATTGTCGGCGTGGACAACGACTCGATGCCGGGCTACGTGATTGGGAAGATGCTGCTCAAGGTTTTCATAGGCGCCCCAGTCGTCCGTGATAACCTCACTCCCAGGAAGGAGACACTTCTCGAGAATCGGTAAAAGAGTGTTGTGATCCCTTCTGGCAACCACTTCATAAAATCCCCTAGCAGGTCTCGTAGCTGTTGAGATGACTCCAAATACCCACACATCTGGAGCACGTCTTCCTCTGTTGTACTACAGAATATGGCAATAATTAGCACTGCTAAAGTCTGGGTGCTTAATATCAGGCGGCTTCACATTCACAGCATTTTTCTTTTTTTTTATTGAAATGAGCTTGTTTGTTGTTGTTGTCGTGGTTATCATTGTTATTGTTACTATTGCTATTATTATTATTACTATTATTATTATCATTGTGTAATACTAACCTTCGCCTTATGATTGAATTTGCTTTCATCGCACTTCACCAATGCTGGGCCGCCAAAGGGGATGAACGGGTTATCGGTGATGTCCTGGGAACACACACCCTCCAAACGTCTGAATATAGTGCATACCAGATTTCTGTTCATGGTCATCATTCTCGATGTTCGTGTTCGTGATTCATAGATGGACCAAAAATAGAATGTCATCATCATTTCCCCCAGAGGAATTTTGGGGAATTCAGCGAAAAAGCTATTGGCCCTTAAACTTCGCTTTTTCTTGCATGTCCTGCATCTCCTTAAGTTAAAAAAAGAATAGATAACCGAAGTGTAAATTATAAATTACTTTTATAATTTAAAACCTTCGTTTTGCCTTTTCTTACGAGCCTGTACTGAAACAGTATTTTTTTTCTGAAACGATTCAGAAGCGGACTTAAGCACGCACGAAAGCCTTTAGAGGACGCAGAAAGGGAAATATTTGTGTAAGTTAATTTTTTCAAAGTTCACACGAACTCGCATGTCTCGCGCCTCCTCCAAAGCGAGGGATGTTATCAACTTTTAGTGAAAATTTAACTCCTAGGCAGTCCAACCCCATTTGTAATTCTTGTGATATTTTTTATGCTACTCCATCAGTTTAAATTTTGCCCCTGTAATGCAGAATTTGAAGTAATCTTCGACCATTTGTACTAAATCAACTCTCAAAAACATACATAAGGTAAAATTAAGCGTTTTTCTGAACTCCGAGCAGTGTAATAAGGCGAACTTTGAAGGTAACACTTATCGGCCTTCCTTTATAGCGTAACTAAAGCTCCAAATATGACCTTCCAAAAGAGAAATCGTGAATAAAATATATGGTACACATATGATTTCCTTATTGCAGCAACTAACCATTGATAACCGTCGATGTGGCCATCGGTTCTCCCAACCATAACCATGTCCTCGTGACAAGCGCCGCAGTGAAGAGGATTCGCTAGAAGCGAACGATTCTGCAGCCACCGTATCATTCTTGATACAGGGTACTGCCTTAGAGTAGTAAAATAACTCAAGTCCATAGCACTATATGAAGTTTCCGACAAGAAAACAAACGTAATGTAGTCTGATCCGAAAAGAGAGCAATGACCAAGAAAATGAGCTCAGTGAACCGCCCTTTAGGTTATTACGAATTAGACCCGAAATTTCCCTGGACTATTGTTTCTGGAAAATGTGCGACCAAATAAGTGTTGTATCGGAAGTTGCGGTTTTCTTTCATTTCAGCCGTGAGAAGCTTTAATTACTTTTTTGTGGCGATTATCGGATATCCTGGAGTGTTTAGCGAACACCTCATGCTACCGAGAGTTACCAAACCTATGCTGAATTACTTATGCACATTGAATTTGCAGACAGCTAATTTCCATTTTTTTTTTCCCGGTGCAAAGTTCCCCATGTATCATTCTTTCTTTCCCTCTCTCTTTCTCTTTTCTTGAATGTGATGGTGAATTTAAGAGTAAGCGAGTGAGTGAATGATGGACATTGTTTCGTGACTAGCCTCTAGAAGGTTTTGATCAGTCTATAGGCATTTCTTAATTTGTGCTGCAACCGCAAATTTGCTTCCTGGCGTTTCCTTAAGGCGTGCTATATGTGAATTTTAGTGAAAAGTTAAGAAGTTTTGAAGAAGGGGCTGATAAGAAAAAAAATGGTTCAAACGCCACCAGAAAGATGACTCCACTGAAAGCGCAGCTCAGGTTTGACTACCAGCAGTCCCTCCTTTTAGGCGAAGTCCATAGCGCGAGTCCAAAAAAAAATTATGAAAAAAAATTGCTGTAGCGTGCCACTGAAACCTTCGGAGTGACACCGATGCATCGCAGGAGTTCTATAAGAGAGGCGGTCAAAAATGTGGCTAGTTACTCCAAGAGTTCCCCGCAGCGCTACCATAAATTTTTTTTTTCACCGATTATCTTTTTTGACTTACGCGACGGACTTCGCCGAAAAGGAGGGACTGCTCGTAGTCTAACCCCAGGTAAGTAGGGACTGTTTTCCAAATTCCAATTTTTAAAAACTATATCAAATCATCAGCATTTCTTATTTACCTCAATTTTACTTATCCTTTGAGAAAAAATATTTCTATCTATATCTAAAAATACCCAAAAATCCTCAGAACATAGATTAGTGAAATGAGCGGACATTTTTTTTTGTTTGAAGCGAGCTAAATATTTGCGCTAAGCTCATGTTAAGCGGCATTACATTAAAGCGACCTTCGAGTGTAACCCTTTACCAACCAGCGCAACATTCCAGTTTTACCTACACGAAACGATTGTAACAAAAGGCAGCAAAATTAGTGGTGCGTTGGCCACCCTGTAAGTTGAATTGAACACGTGACGAAAGAAACAGCATCTTCGTAAATAAGTTAGTGAAAAGAAACTTTACTGAAGAAAATTTACAATGTATTCTATGTATGTTTGTAGATAGCTATAATTAGTATTATAATTAAATCTTGCTCTTTTTCAATCGGGCCCAAGTCTTCCTTTGCCCCAATGATTTGATCCTCCATAAGGGTTTCACATTCGGTATCAAAGACTCTCATTACTCCGTCCTCGTTTAACAAAACAAATCTGATAGAAAAGGGTAGGTTAATTAGTGTTTAGAATTTGATAGAATGATGCTGTTTTAAAGATCGCAAATAAACAGTCGATAAATGTGGAAAGTTATAAATGAAGGTTTGGATTAACGATTTAAATTAAAAGATGTCTATACTGCCATTGCTAAGTTCTCCATTCATGAATGACAAGTTGATTTACCATACTACCATTTCACTTAATAACAGTCAGGGTGGGAGTGCCTTTTGACTTTCATACCTTGTTTGAACTGTGATTGACGAAGAGCCAAACAATGCATTTAGAAACAGCCTATTTTGGCCAGAGGTCCTCTTCCACAGGCACCGAAATGTGTGACTTTCAAACCCAAACAGTGGACTTGAAATATCCTTTGGAATTCGGATTGACGACTTCGGCACTGTCCACCGGTAGCACTTTCGCTTAGAAAACTCCCTTTTCACGGCAACTTGAGACTGCAAATAATAATAATAACAAAATTAGGAAAACAACGATAATAATAATAATATTATCATCATCATTATTATTATTATTATTGAAAGTAAGAAACAAAAGCAAATAAAAACGAAAACATCGAAATTCTAACTGAATGAAAAGTATCTCAATTGTTATACTTGAAAACGAGTCTCCTAAATGAGATCAACAAACCTTGTCATAAATCGCGCACTGAAGTCTTTCAACTTGACTCTCAAGTAGCGCCTGGTGGCTTCCTTGATAAAGTTCGTTGTGGGCATTTTCCATCCCTAACTGGTAGAAATTGTTACAACCGGCCACGCTGCATTTCATCATTCTTTTAAGACATTCGTCCAAATGAAGGTGAACATGGGACCTGAAATAGACACACATTGATCTTACGTTATCGGGCTTCTTTGGTAATTTTATTACTATTACCGGGTTAACCCTTCAAGAGGCCAAAAAAAATTTTTAAAAGTTTTACCTTAACTGCGCTTTACTACTGGGGCAAAACCGGGTGTTGGTCCTTTTGATTAATTTTTTTTCCATGCTCTTTTCTTTAACAAAATGATGACAAAATTTTGTGAATCAATTCATGGCGATAACTGAATAATAACTGACCTGGGCAAATTATGGCCACAATTTAATGGACATGGTCCGGGCTTTTCTTGACAGGTTGGTTCATGCTGATCTAGTATATACCTCTCCACCTCAGCAGTGCAGTATTTGCAAGGTACTTTCTCTTGAGGGCAGATCTCCAAGTGACGCTCAAGTGAATCTCGCAAATGCGATCCAGGACAGCCATTGGGGCATTCCAGAAGGAGGAATGAGCAGGTCTCTTGATGTCTCTCCTTAGAACCATGCTCACTGACCCACGAGCAGCCAACTTTGTGCATTTCACATTCAATTTGGAAATGACTGAACTGAGGGGTATGCTGATGTTCAACATGTGTTCGTTGATTGGCTCCCAACATACTGCACACGCCTTTTCCCGTCCACCTCTGGATTGATTTGAAATAAGCTGATGTATACATTCTTGGCATCCACTGTGTCCGCACAATAAGGACACGGGTCTGTTCATCAGCTCCTTGCTAAAAAATAGAACGTGATTCCATCAACAAAAAATACGTGAACTCATTTTACAGCTTTCGATCCACGTAAAGATTTATAAACACACAACTGGCATCAGATCCCGTCTAGGGTGGCACCTAGCATACGCCCCGCAACGGGGACCTACGCATAAATGCAAAAAACCTAAACATGAGCGCAAGCCTTGGCTACCGTAATCAGCCGAGTCGCGTCTTTTGATAACCGACTAGCACTAACCCAATATGAAAGCAGCACAAAAATCAAAAGAACACAAGATGTTTGCTGGATACTTCATGAATTTAACAAAAGATGATCAAAATTCTCCCTAGAAGTAATGGTAAATCTGCCTTGAGCAACCAGACCCGCGACTAAAATTACCAGAGTAAAAATTCAAAGATATGGTTAGACTAGAAAGAACACCGGGCTAAGTGTTTCATGATGGACAGAGAAGTGTTTGTTTTTATGTAAGTAACACTTTTACGAGCCAAGGAAATGAATTTTTCCGCCTTTATGGCACAATTTAGATCGGCACATCTTGGGTTACTGCGTCTTTTAACTTAACCCGGACTAAAGGTGAAAGCTTTCGGAAAAGGAATCGGTAGTGAGCGCCAGGGAATAAAAACAAACTGATCAATTTTAATCATAAATGAGCTACGAATCATTGCCAAGTTAACAAGCCAAAAGAGAATGTGAACTGTCAATTGTTCAAACTCTTATTAAGGATTCAATAGGAATTCTTATGCACTTCCACTAAATACTTTGCACCGCACGCATTGAACTAAGTCGCTAGAGTTTTGAGGTCAGGACGCAGTTGCCATAAATTTCCCTTGTTTTGGGGCTTCTTCTTAGCGATTGATCTGTATTCTCTTTTTTGCCGAACTTGGAGTTAAACTGACTCTTCCCTTGTCGTCACCTTTTCTTTTTTCTTTCACAATGAAGCTCGACAGGTCTGGAGAAGGAAAAGTTCCCAATTCTCCCTAGCACGCACAAGCAAAGCCTCGACGTCCAGAGACAACTCACATGGGAAAACTTTCTCGTACGGAACTTTAACGA